AATACGCACGAAGATTTCCAAACAGACGACATCCAACTCGCTCAGTATTTGTAAGAGTGCATCGCCAAATAATTGAAAATTGTTTTGGAAATCTCCAAAGGGATCAAAACATAAATGTTCGTCAGCGCAGATTTACCCGTATGATTCTGCGTGAGTTTGATAGAGATCCGACCACAAGTGTTAGGAGAGTTTCTGGTGCCTTGGGAATTTCAGCAAGCCATGTTCACCGTGTTCTTAGAAATGACCATAGACGTCCTTACCATTTGCAACCTGTGCAAGGACTACAGCCAGGGGACGGACAACGAAGAATCACATTCTGTCAGTGGATTCTTGATAGAACTGGTAATAATAGGGAGTTTTTAAGTAACGTTTTATGGACCGATGAGTCATGCTTCACTAGACGTGGAGTGGTAATTTTTCATAATCAACATATTTGGTCGCATGAAAATCCGCATGCAGTTCGGAAAAGAACTTTGCAACATGAATTTAGTGTGAACGTGTGGATTGGTATCTACAGTAATCGACTATTTGGACCCTACCTTTTGCCTGCAAGGTTAAACGCTGCAACCTTCTTGGAATTTTTAAAGGCTGAACATGCAAATATGTGGGATGATGTTATGTTAGATTTAAGAAGATTGTCCTGGTTCCAGCTTGATGGTTGTCCAGCTCATTATTCGAGAATAGTTAAACTGGCTAGACGAAAATTGTCCAGAAAGATGGATCGGCCGTGGAGGACCAGTCGCCTGGCCTCCACGATCCCCTGACCTAAACCCATTAGATTTCTTTGTGTGGCGATTTCTAAAAGAAAAAGTGTACCAGACTCCCGTAACCACAAGAGATATGCTAATAGTCAGAATCAGGAATGCATGTGATGAAATAAGGCCTTATTTGAATAATGCTATACCACGTTCGATCATTCGTAGGTGTGAATTGTGTATTGAACAATTGGGTTTACATTTCGAGCAACTACTTTAGATTTTGTATGTTTGTCCTAACTATCCAATAGCATTTTAGTTGTAAATAATTAATTTAATTTGTTAAAAATAATATTGGAAAATTAAACAAATTAATATTCTGTTTTTTTGTGTTTATTTGGAGTTAGGAATTATTGCAGTGTTTAAAAACACAATCTAAACGATCATCTTAATTACTTGTAATGCCCAAATCGAAAATGTAAAAAAAATATTATTTTCCCATACATAATTAAAAATGCATCGAACCTTAAAAATCGAAATATCTGAAAAACGGCTAACTATAACGAAAACTCACAGGAGAGCTTTTTTATGCAGAAAAGTGCGAAGAATCAGTTTTTTTATTCAAAAAGCAAAAAATTGCACTAAGAAAAAGCTTTCGGTCATTTTAATGCACTACAGGTACAGTCGAGAGCGCCCTCTAACGGCTACAGTAAAACTACGCCCATGGTTCGTTTTGCCGTACCAAAAAACCCTTGTTTACCAATTTTCACTGTTATACATCAAATATTGTTCGAAATATTTAAAAAAAAAGCTATTTTAAAAAGTAACCCTGTATTTCGGAAGCCACGCATTTTTCGACCCATGTTTATATAGACTTTATGCATTAATTTTAAAAGTCCTATCGAATCTTAAAGTTATGCGACAATAAACTGAAACACCCTGTATGATAACTTCATGACCTACCTAGGAAATTCCGTTTTTTCGAAATAACTATGGTTTGGAAACAGTGGCGGCTCGTGAGGTAGTGCCACGGTGCCATGGCACTACCTTGTCTTCTTCAAAAAGAATATTTTTTTCAATCTTCAATGTTTTACTTTATTTTTTGCTTTTTCATTTTTTTTTTTGGTATAAATTATATGAAGTGACAACACTGACAACGTGACAACACCGCAAGCACCCGAACCACGCGACTAGATATAAAGCATGCCTTGACCTTGACGTCATCAACTTGTGCCAATGTCGGGCCGGCCCAAATAAAAAGAGAGAAATTTTACCAGCATCGCATACGAGCGACAGAGATAACGCTACAATACACATTTTTATATGAGGTGAATAGCGAAAGACAAGTATAATTTGTGCCAGGCACATCATCAGTCGTAATTCGTTATCAAATGATATCGGCGGTGTTTTTGTTCGGTCGGTCGTTTCGTTATGATTACGTCTAGTGCTGATTTCGGTCTTTTTTTACCTGAAAAGTGAGAAATAACGTTTTTGTTTTAGTACGTCTAGTGTTAATGAACTGCTCTGTTTTGTGATCATATTTTTTACTGTTTTATTAAAACTAGTGAAAATGAATAAAATCGGGATATTAAAAAACTCATTTAGTGGTTTTTCGCTGGATCAAAAACTGCAAATTAAAGAATTAGGACGGCCAATACCCGATTTAAAAATTGAGAAACAAAGTGGTAGCGGACAAAAATCGCGCTGTCGCAAATTTAATAAAAATGTGTACGATAAAAACAGCTGGATATGTGGTTGTGAAGAAACGAATAAACTATTTTGTTTTGTATGTGTTCTATTTGGAGGTGACGAGACTTGGTCAAAAAAAGGTACAGATGATCTTATACATATATGGGATAAAATGAAGACCCACGAAAAATCTAAAGTCCATATGAATAATGTTTTTAGCTTTTCTATTCTTGGTAAATTAAATATAAGGACTCAACTCAATTCGGCTTATCGCAATGATCTAATTAAACATAATAATCAAGTGGATAAGAATCGATATGTATTGAATAAAATTATTAATTGTATAAGGTTTTGTGGAGCATTTGAGTTAGCCTTAAGGGGTCACGATGAAAAGGAAAATTCGGAAAACAGAGGCATATTTAAGGAGCTGGTGAATTTTAGCGCCGAATTAGACAACGAATTGAAAGTCCATATTCAAAGTGCCAAACTTTTCAAGGGTACCTCAAAAACAACTCAAAACGAGCTTCTTGAGTGCATGCTAGATGTTTATCATGAAGAAGTTAAGAAGGAGATTGCAAATTCTCCTTTTGTTGCAGTAATTGCCGATGAAACGACTGACGTAGCCTGTGAATTTCAGTTAGTTATTATTTTCAGATATTTGTGTAAAGGACAACCAGTTGAGAGATTTTGGAGATTTTACGTCCCCGACGGACACGATGCCAAATCAATCGCTGCATGCGTTTTAAATGTTGTAAATCCATTAATAGATCAAAATCCAAACAAATTAATAGCTCAAAGCTATGATGGTGCGTCTGTTATGAGTGGTGAATTGAATGGCGTTCAAAAGATTATTAAGGAAACTTATCCACTTGCAAATTATGTTCATTGCTATGCACACCAGTTAAATCTAATTATGACAAGCGCATGCTCTGTCAATAAGCAGGCTAGAATATTTTTCCATAATTTATCTGGATTGTGCTCTTTTTTTTCGACGTCTCCTCAAAGAACAAAAATTTTGGATGAAATAGTTAATCGCAGATTGCCAAGATCTTCCCAAACACGTTGGAATTTTCAGTCACGAGGTGTTCATACAGTTTATGAAAATAGGAAAGACCTGATTGAAGTTATGGACAATATAGAAAGTACTTCACGCGATTCTTCGTCGATTAATCAAGCCAGTGGGTACAAATTAAAGCTGCAAGATACAAATTTTGTATTTTGGCTAAGTATATTCCATAAAATAATGCCACATGTTGAAATTGTCTTTAACCAATTACAAAAAGTATGCACCGATTCTGTTAAGGTCAAAAATGATTTAGAGAATTTTGAAGCAGCAATTCAAACTATACGAGAACAAATGGATAGCATTATTGACGAGATTGAACGAGTGCAGAGAGAAACTGATGAACCGGCAAGAAAAAAAAGGCAAGTTGAAGAAGGCAGCAAAAAACGGGAAGCGTTAGAAATATGCGATGCAGTATTATCGCAAATAAGAACAAGATTTAACTTTTCTGGGCATTTAGTTGCTTCTAATTTATTTGTGTCTGAAAAGTTTTCTGTTTATAAACATCAGTTTCCTGAAGCACATTTAAATGACACATGCACACAATTTTCATTTTTAGACAAAAACAGGCTTAAAACTGAGTTACAAGTATTATATCAGAGAGAAGAATTGAGTACTACTTCTGGAGCTGTTCCACTATCCATTTTATTGAACGAGGAAGGATTAAATTGTACGTTTCAAGAAACTCTTAAGCTCTTAAGTATTTTAATCACTATACCGATGTCAACATCTGAAGCAGAACGCTCTTTTTCAATGCTGAAACGGATTAAAACTTTCCTCAGAAACACAATGAAGGAAGAAAGGCTTAGTGCTTTAGGAATGCTGTCTGCAGAAAAACATTTTGTTAGTGGCATTGAAAATTTTAATAATAAGGTAATCGAAAACTTTGCTACCAAAAAAGAAAGAAGAATGGACTTCATGTATAGAAAACTTTGAAGTTATAGGTACTTCTCCACACTTGTTTTATAATTTGGTGCGCGTGTGTAAATAGTTTTATTTTTGATTTTTTTTTGGACATATAGATTTATTGAACCTCAAGAACTTTGACCACTAACTATCAGGGGTAAGTTATAAGTTATTCTTTACAATTTTGAATCGATTCAAAATTATGGCTTCCATTCTGGCACTACCTCACTGAATTGGCACGAGCCGCCACTGTTTGGAAATGTCAATGTATGGATCATTTTTGAAATCACGATTGAAAAGTACCTATTCACCTGTCCAGTATGGTGTCCTTGATAAAAAATAAAGTTGATGCTGGAGGATTACAGACGAAACGTCATGTTGAAATTCTAATTATGCCATCTTGTAGTGAAAAAAAAGTGGCAATGGTAATGTGCAATTTATTGTGGAACCCCACTATAAAAAGGATCAGGAAAAAATTCAAACGATTTTGGTCTCTTTTCGTACCATGAATTTCGAGACTTTTAACCGGCAAATTTGTTAGTTACCATTCAAGCAACTTCGTATCCGAGAACCCAATGGTGAAACAAACGGTATATATCCAAAAGAACACTAAAGTATCACTACCCTCAACGTAATTGCTCAAGAACTTACCCCAGATAGTTGTGATTCATCTTGAGATTCTCTATAGTACAATTCAGTTCCTTGAAACTCCTCTCCGGAAGATCACTAAACGTAGACCCAACCAGCTTGAGCGAGATCTTCTCGTCCGACGGAAATTTGTTTGCCAAAAGATCGATCGCCTGTCCGAACGAAGACATCTTCTCGCACCAGACGTGAGTGGCAGCCTTCGAATTGGGCTCCATCCTGCACTGGCACGGCTGGATGTCCCTCCAGACGGGGCATTGTCTCAGCCCCGACGAGACTCCCAGGATGGAAAGAAGTAGCACCGACATCTTTAGAAGCGCGAATGGAAATGAAGTGAGCATCAAACTGCGGATGATCAGCAGCCAGCACTGACTCCCGGACTGACGGCAACAGCTGAGAACACGGTGCACGTGCCCCAACGACTAGCGCCGGGTCGACGGTGTCCACCCGTCGTCATCATCGAGCTATCATCAACAATAATTAGGGATTCGTCCGTGTATGGGACCGACCTATCGTGTAAAGGCAGCCGTACACTCTAACTAATCGGTTCGCTAGTTCGGCGAGGTACTTGGAGATGTACCCCGAACAGTGGGGGATTTGCAGTCTTTTGCCCGCCCTAGGACCGAGGCCATGTAGCCGCCCCGGTGCTGTTGCGTTTTGTAGAACTTCGGATTTCACTGTTTTTTCACTTGAAACTTATAGATTATTTTAAAACAAGAAAAGTGTGGATGAAGCACTTTTTTAATGAAATTTTTTTCTCAAATCACTGTATTTTTAGCATATGTCATAGTATATGAGAGGCGGTTGCCTGCACTGTTGCCAGATTGGGCTCCGCATTGAGGGGAAAGTATGAAAAGTGGAAAATTTATATACGTATATTTAAATAATGAAACACAAAAGCGAAAAACTGAAACAAACAACAGTGGCAAAATAAAAAGCGATACTTAATAATTATAATGGGTGATTTTTTTGCTAGTATCTTTGTGGCAACACTGTTTTTGACAGATGACGCGTGAATCGTGTCTTGTGTCATTGTCAAACTGAACAAGTTTGGTCTATAATTTAACCATGAATCGACTTACGAACGAACAACGCTTGCAAATTATTGAATTTTACTATCAAAATTCATGCTCGGTTAAGAGAGTGCATCGAGCACTGCTTCCAATTTATGGGCAATTTGGTCGGCCTACTGAGGGAGCTATTCGGAAGCTTGTGACTAAATTTCAAACCCAGTTTACATTATTGGACATTAAACCACCAACACGCAGACGTAGAGTGAGGACTGAAGAAAATATTGCGGCTGTATCCGCCAGTGTTAGTGATGACCGTCAAATGTCGATTCGCCGCCGTTCGCAGCAATTGGGCCTCTGTTACTCCACTACGTGGAAAATTTTGCGACAGGATTTGGGTGTAAAACCTTATAAGATACAGCTGGTGCATGAATTGAAGCCACACGACCTTTCACAACATTTCCAATTTGGTGAATGGGCGCTGGCAAAGTTGGAGGAAGATCCACATTTTTATCGAAAAATCGTGTTCAGCGACGAAGCTCATTTCTGGTTGAATGGGTACGTTAAGAAGCAAAATTGCCGCATCTGGAGTGGAGACCAGCCAGAAGCATTGCAAGAGCTACCAATGCATAACGAAAAAATCACTGTTTGGTGTGGATTATGGGCCGGTGGCATCATCGGGCCGTACTTCTTCAAAGACGACAATGGCCGGAACGTAACTGTGAATGGCGAGCGCTACCGTGCGATGATAAACTTTTTTTTGGCCAAAATGAAAGAGCTGGACTTGGCTGACATGTGGTTTCAACAAGACGGTGCCACATGCCACACCGCTCACGAAACAATGGCCCTATTGAGAGGCGAGTTCGGTGAACAGTTTATCTCACGTTCGCGACCCGTCAATTGGCCGCCTAGATCGTGTGATTTAACGCCATTGGACTATTTCTTGTGAGGCTATGTTGAGGCTAATGTCTACAGGGATAAACCAGAAACGATTGACGCACTGGAAGCCAATATTGAAGCATTTATTAGTGAGATACCGGCCGATATGTTGGAGAGAGTGTGCCAAAATTGGACCTTGCGCATGGGCCATCTAAAGCGGAGCCGCGGCCAACATTTACATGAAATAAACTTTAAACATTAAATTATATCGACCGTTCTATCAACTCAAATAAAGATTTAATCGTTTTTTCAATTTTTTATATTATTATTATTATAACAAAATATAACAGTAGTAAACTAAAAAACAGTTGTAAATAATTATAAAAACAGTAAAACAAGAAAGAATTCCATGTAATTATAGAAAACAAAAAAGAACACAGGGAACTGTGGGTCCTGGGCCTCTTCGATGTCTCCACGAAACGTGAGCACATTATTTATGTTAAAATAGGAGTACGACTACGCTTGAGAGCGAAATACTAAAATTTGTCAAGCCGAGAACAGAAATCGACATCCATGAAATATTGAACCGCAAACTAAATTTTGTGGATCCAGTGACAGGAGTGTTCACAATGAAATTGAAGGGCACTGGTCTAGATTAAAGCAATTTTTGAGGCGGCTGGGCGTGATGCAATCGCCTCATTTGCCCGAATATATTGACCAGTTGATTTGGTGGGGGCTCTATGGTGCTAGACCCGGAGACCGATTCAAAAATATACAGGGTGTCCGCAAAGTTGGGGTTTTCCTTTTCAGAAACAACTACCCTTGAAATAACCAAGGTAATGTGTAGTGAAACGAGGGCGACCAAGTAAAAAAAATAAAGGAAAAAGTACTCACTCTCCAGTTGACGAGAAGGGCTGAGTACCTCTCTGCCCGAAATCATACCGCTCCAACAGAAAATGAAATCAGCTGAAGCGCTACCGAGCAGACGCAGAAACCACATTGATTGTCTTACACTTAATGGCACATCTTCTAACAAGGAAGGCAAAATGTTGCGTAAAAAGTCCAGGTATTGCATCCCGTCCAATCGATTTGGGAGAATAAATGGTCCAATGAGCATACCGTTCACCATGCCAGCCCAAACATTCACCGAAAATGTTTGTTGAAAATGTGCCCGACGGACAGCGTGCGGATTTTCTACTGACCAAACATGAGTGTTGCGAAAGTTATTCACCCCATTACGCGTGAACGTAGATTCGTCTGTCACCTATGCACTTCAAAAAGTCTGGATTATTGTCATGTTGATGCAACAACCACTCACAAAACCGCACTCTTGCTGGAAAATCGTCAGGTTGAAGGGCTTGTACACGTTGGACGTGAAACGGATACAGCCTCTCTTCACGCAGCGTTTGCCACACTTTAGTTTTTGATACTTGCACTTCTCTAGCCACGTCTCTAGTGCTTGTTGAGGGATTCTCGTCTACGCGATTACCTCTATACGCGTGACCGTAACCGTCGGTTGAAGGTTGCATACTGACCTGACACACTGACCCCGACCCAGTTCTGCCGTCGGGTTGAGACCTTGTACCAATCGGTGATGTCCCGGGTTGCGGCTACAGGACGGTATTCAGATATTTTTGATGTTGTAGAGCTCTTTATCTCGGTTCCCTTAAGACATTGGTGTATATGGTACTAAGAAAAATTGCTTATGTTTTCAAGATCTACAAGTCGTGTAAAAGAAAACCCCAACTTTGCGGACACCCTGTATTGCGACAAATTGCCGCAAAGTATACCTTTTAATATTGAATACTTTCTGTTCATTTTAGTTTTTGGATTTGTTTTTTAATTTACTGTTTTTACTTTTTGTTTTTGTTATCACTTAGAATTGCTTTTTATGTTACTGTTTGTTGTTTTTTATAATTACATGAAATTGTTTTTTTTGTTTTACTACTGTTCTTTTTTTGTTACAACTTAGAATTGCTATTTATTTTACTGTGTTGTTTTTTGTTTTTATAATTACATGGAATTGTTTCTTATTTTACTGTTTTTATAATTATTTACAATTGTATTTTAGTTTACTACTGTTATGTCTTGTTTTATAATTATTAAGCATCGCTTTTTATTTTGCCACTGTTGTTTGTTTCAGTTTTTCGCTTTTGTGTTTCATTATTTATTATTCGTATATAAATTTTCCACTTTTCATATTTTCCCCTAAATGCGGAGCCGAATCTGGCAACAGTGCAGGCAAGCGCCTCTCATATACTATGACATATGCATCAACGTCAACGTCATACGGCAGATGGCGGTGGAGTTAATGGTGGAAAAACTGTTAAAAATACAGTGTTTTGGGAAAAAATTTTCATGAAAAAAGTGCTTCATCCACACTTTTCTTGTTTTAAAATAATGTATCAGACTACCCTCTATAAGTTTCAAGTGAAAAAAACAGTGAAATCGGAAGTTCTACGAAACGCAACAGCACCGCCGCCCCTTTCTCAATATTCGTTATACAGGGTGACGGGAAAATAGATGCTGAGTCGGTGGGGGGAGATAGCATAAGCCAATCTAAGTCGATTTTGCTATAGGAACTACTGTCCGAAAATTAGCCGTCTTCGAATTATACTAATTTTTAAGATTCTATAAAATTAACGTCCTTTATACTTTGAATTTTGTAAATTTTTAAATTCTGATTCTTAAAATCTTGAATACTTTAATAACCTTGAAAACTTGAAAATTTTGTAAATCTTGAAAATCTAGAATATTTTGAAGTTTTGAAAGTTATTTAATTAGAATTTTGAAAATTTTAGGAACATTGTAAATTAGGAATATTTTGGAAATTATGAAAATCTTGGAAATTTCGAAGGTTTTAAAAATTTTGAAAACTGAAAATTTCGAAATCACTGAGTATTTTGAAATCATTGAAAATTCTGAAAATTTTGAAAGGATTGAAAATTCTGAAATTTTTTCCAATGTTGAAAATGTTGAATATTTTTCTAGTTTTTTAAATTCTCAAAATTTTAAAATATATCGTAAATTTTGAAAATTTTTAAACTCATGCAACTGATAAAAAAATATTCTGAAAAATATGAATTCTGAAAATTCTGAAATTTTTTCCAATGTTGAAAATTCTATTTTTTAAATTCTCAAAATTTTAAAATATATCGTAAATTTTGAAAATTTTTAAATCATGCAACTGATAAAAAAATATTCTGAAAAATATGAAATTCTGAAAATTCTGAAAATTCTGAAAATTCTGAAATTCTGAAAATTCTGAAAATTCTGAATATTCTGAAAATTCTGAAAATTCTGAAATTCTGAAAATTCTGAAAATTCTGAAAATTCTGAAAATTCTGAAAATTCTGAAAATTCTGAAATTCTGAAAATTCTGAAAATTCTGAAATTCTGACAATTCTGAAAATTCTGAA